AGGCAACCCGGCACTAGCTGCTTCCCCCCAGCAGACCAGGGAGACGCGAAGCTAGCGCTCCCCCCCCAGCAGACCAGGGAGCCACGGAGCGGCTTTTCTCACCGCGGAGGACGTGGGCGGCGGGACCGCGGCGCGTCTGGGCAGTCCCGCCGCCCGTGTCCTCCGGGGCGAGAAAAAGCCCCGTTCATAAGTACGGATCCGACAGAAGTCGGATCCTCGTAACCCCGGGGACTGCCTGTATAGGAAGTAATATATAGGCTATGGAATAATTCTGCCGCCTTTGTACAAGAAACACATCTGTTGACTGTTGTCTGTTTTTAAAGAGATTATCAAGTATACAAAATATATTTATAAATATCAGATTTCCTATGGTTATGAATAACTTGGCAGATATTTAAGAGAAAATAACTTTTTGCTCTTTGTGCTGCTTATTTTTCTTTCCTTTGCTTGTAAAATTTGAAATAGATTTGTTCATTGTTCCCTGCTTTAGTTACACTATCAGTTTCTCAAGCTAGTGCACAGCTATTGTATTTTGGATTGGAAACACTACAGGAAAAACATTTTAAAATCAGTTTTCTATGCCATTTTTTAAAATCCAATTAAAATTTGTTCAGTCATTCTGGTTTAAAAAGAAGCTCCTATAACAGTTTGTGGAATAGTGAAGTCAGTAGTGCCTCAAGTTAGATCACATTGATCTCGCAGATATTTATTAGAACACTAGGGCTACGTCTAGACTACGCTCTCTTACGCAAGAGAATATGCAAATGAGGTGAAGTGATTATTGCCGTGCCTCATTTGCATACTTAATGAGTGGCCATTTTTGCGCAAGGGGCTTTTGCACCAAAAGGAGCCATCTACACAGCTCCTTTTTGCGCAAAACCCCTTCTTGTGCAAGAGCTGTTCTGCCGCTTTTTTCAGGAAGAACGGCTCTTGTGCAAGAGGGGGGTTTTGCGCAAAAATGACCGCTCATTAAGTATGCAAATGAGGTGCAGTGATAATCACCGCTTCACCTAATTTGCGTGTTCTCTTGCACAAGAGAGCGCAGTCTAGAAGTAGCCCAGCAGACTTATTCGTCATTACCCGGGTTCTTCAGGGCAGGGCCTTGGGAACGTGGAAGGGATGCAATGCAGGAGGATGTGAGGGTACAAGAGTGGGAGTTGAGTGATGAGGGGCTCAGGGCAGTGGTCCCATCTGGCCTGGGACTTTTGTTTCCCCCAGCCTCCAGGGGTGTGTTCTGCTCCACCCACCTCCAGCTGCCAGGGGCCTTTTTTTCTCCTCCAATTTTTCCTCCCTGGTGCTATGACCAAGAGCCAGGAAGGAGGGGAAATATTTGGGGTAGGAGGGCTACTTACTCAGTGTTCTGGCAAGCAAGATGGCGAAGCCCCAGCCCTGCTGGCCACTCCCTTGATGTGGCGGACCCCAGTAGCCACTCTCATATAGCGAACCTCCAAACACATGCTCCTCTCACTGAATGTTATGAAAAACAGTCCTTTTCCTGTGACTCCTGATTGTCCTGGCACAACCAAACCCTGACCTTCCTTTAAGTTAGGAGAAGAGGAGGCTGCCTGCCAAATTTGGTGTCCCTAGCTCTTACCGTTTTGGAGGAGTTCTTGAACAGACAGACTCGCAGACAGATGTTCTCTTTTTCATATATACACACACATACGCGTGCGCGCATACATACTGAGTGTGTAACTTAAGTTTTTTTTCTTATTCATATATAGGATGGTGCAATATTGGTGTTTCTCCCAGGCTGGGACAATATTAGTACTTTACATGATCTCTTGATGTCACAAGTCATGTTTAAGTCAGGTAAAAGTAATTTTAAGAATAGCTTTTTGTTCTTAGTGACTATTTATCTGATTCATTAGCTTCCCCCATCTTTGTTTGCATCCTTTTATTCTTTTCCTAGCTCCTTCCTCGCTGTGCTCTTTATTATATACAGTATCTTTGCACTTGTGTTGTCTTTTATCCAAAGATCTTGCCAGTGACATTTATTCCTATGGTTTAATTTCCATATCCACATTTAACTCTCAAACCCACATCTCCCTCCTTCTATCCATTCTCCTATACAAAGGTCTCTTGGATAGTCTATCTCTATCCAAAAGTGAAATTTCCTTTCTTCCCCTTTGCTGTGGATGACACTTTTTTTTTAACCTGTTTCTTCTAGGAAGCTTTGTGATATTTCTGTCCCCATTGATGCTTTTATTCCCTCCTGTCATTGAACTGTTTGACCTGTGCTTTAGATACCAGTGGTTTGAGAAGTAATGCTTCTCCAAATCACTCTTCTGCCTACTATATTCAAGATGAATTGCTGAAGGGATCTAACAGTATGTTTACACTGTAGTTAAAAACCTATGACTGGCTTGTGTCAGTTGACTCAGGCGAAGGAGCTGTTTAACTGTGTATATATACACGTTTGGGTTGGAGCCTGGGATCTGGGACCTTGAGAACTTGTTAGAATTTGATTTAAGGATATTTAATTTGTGTATTTTGATATATTGATAATTTGATTTTTAATAGTTATAAAGCTGTAATCTTTTTGAAATCTCATGTCTACTTTTGTTAAATTGTCTGAAACATTAAAATTCTAATAATTCCTGCATCTATGAAAATTTAAATAGCAATTGAAAATATACTTCAAAACATTTATATTCATTGAAATTAATGAAAGCAATTAATTTAATTTAGCCAAGCTTATATATAAAGCATTCGCTTCTGAACTTAAAAGTTAAAACTGATTTTCAGCAGAAGAGTAGAGGTGTACAAAGCACCATTGTATAAAAACACAAATATTAGGTATATCTGCTCCTGTTGCTTATTTGTACTTCGTGTAAGAGTGAAATAGTTTCTACAGCAACAAATTGTTGCCACATTTGATTCTAGGTAGAGATGAAACAGTAAAGATAGAGTGGTGTTTACAAATGTTTTCAATTGGGTATCTGCAGAATTCCTATTAAATAATTTTTTTGTTTTGTTTTTGCATATTTAGAAGCTCTCACATTGTGCTAGCTAGTCCCAAATATAATATAGCAAGTTCTGTTCCAAAGATCTTATCAGTTTTATTCAAAAACTTAAAATTACCCATATCAAACAGATGTTATAGCACAGAGGGCCACAATAAGTGGGTGCTGTAATTTTTGGAATTATTCCAGGGAAAATGTTTTTAAAATGTTTTCCTGTAGCTGACCTCCTTTTTACTGATGACCTTGCTGTTGGCTAAACTGGAGGTTGTCATCCCATATTTTCAATGCTGACAATGTCAGCTTTCTACTAAGCACTTTGTCTGTCATTAACTAGGCACTAGTGCATTGCCAGCAGAAAACTCCCTTTTCTCTCTATAGCCATGATCACTAAGAGGTGGATCGCGAGGCCTCGACCAGTCAATCGTGAGGCGTTCGGGCAACCCCACCCCCCATTTTCCCCCCACCCCCGAGAAGTCCCACTACCTCCCTCTAGTGTAGTGCCAGTTTCCTGTGGGGTGGATGGAAGTCCTGTCTGAAGCCCACGTGAGTTCCAGA